ACGGTGCGACAGACACCAGACAGCCAGACATCAGGCATCAGGGTTGGTTTCGTTTGTCTACGCACCGCGCTGTAAGCTCACCATTCGCACAATTTTTGCACTCGTATTCGCATATTTTGGGTTCCGAGCAATGCGCACATTTTCCTTTGTTTTGTTTTGCTACCGGTTCGCAAAGCGGCTGGGCTTATTTCGTTTGTTTGTGGCTGTGTCTAAAGGGCAACGCACACTTCAGTATTCCAAACTCATGTACGAGTACATCCATATATCCATATACATATATGCTGCGTCTGGCGATTTTCAGCATTTGCTTTGTTGCGAACGAGACAGGAAGCAGGAAGAAGTTCGTTAAACTCTGAAAAATGAAATAGAAACTCAAGCCGCGTCAGCCAATGAGTCCGTCGTTGTGTTGCTGTAGTAGCTCCTGCCGCCGCCGCTTTTGTTGTCTGCGTTGGCCGCAGTCGACAGGACTCTTGTCGCAATGCGTACGCATTATTTTTAACGCACTTCCCGCGTGTTTAGATTGGGGCTGGTCTAGTATTGCAGCAGAGCAGAGATGGTGTCGATGGGTACTGTCTGGCGGTGCGGGGAGCAGGCTGATAAAACGACCGTATTGTTGTGAAATAGCCTGCGGCAGACAGTTAGCGAGTTTTCTATGCGCAAAGCGTTGAACAAAAACATTGTGGCCGTTTGTTATTAGAATTGCTAGTGGTTGTTCTTGAAGTCGCTTGCAGATGGGTGGACGAAATGGTGAGAGAAGTTGTGTTCTCTAAGAATTTGTGGAATCAAGGAAATCGCTCACAGATGCACTTAAGTTTGTGGAATGTGCGGGCATCCGCCATCAATACTGGGAAGACGGTTAAGATTGCGATTGATCAGAAATATATGTACATGTGTATTACGCCTCGCGCCCGAATCAGAGAGATTGGGAAGTTTGAAAAAATTTTGAAGGTTTTGAATGTTCCTGCCTAGAATATATCTGCCACTTTTCTAGTAACTCCGAACGAATCATCAACGAATATCCGGATTGTCTCTAATCGAAAGTAGCGAAATTATTTTACATATATAGTACATGGGGATATGGATCGAAGAAGACACCACGACATTACTGGACAGGCACAAAAGTTATCAGACAGACTAAGTCCTACTCACCGGAAACATCCACAAAATGATAAGAAGCACTTCTTCACCTTTCAAGGAACGAAGTAATAAATTTTATAAAATTTCTAACTGCTCGCTGCAGGATAATGAAGCATTTGTCCAAGCTGTGAGTTGTTTGCTCTAATCACCGCACCTAGAATATTCTTATTCTTCTTATTTCGCACTAAAACAGTTTGTCGGTTTGGGCTGAAAACAAAAACTTCGCCAATTGCCTCTCGCCTTTGCGCCACTTGGTCCCACTATTGTGTTCGTCAGCGCCCTTGCTTTCGTTGTTCTTAGCATCGGAGCGTCATCATCCATCGGTACAACATGTCCAAGTCAGCGCAATCGTTGTATTTTTATGCGCTTAATTATGTTGATGTCGTTAAAATGCTCGTACAGTTCGTCATTCCATCTTCTTCGGTGCTCGTTGCCCACACGAACGGGGCCGTAGATCTTGCGTACGATGGTTCTCCCGAAAGCACCCATTGCTTCTCATCTTTGTTTGACATCGTCAATGCTTCTGCGTCATATAAAAAGACGGTCATGATCAGAGATTTGTAGAGCGTAATTTTTGTTCGTCGAGAGGGGCTCTGCTTTCCAATGGCCTACCGAGCCCAACAGGTGCTACTGTTTGGAAGAGTTATATATGTTATCGGCCAAACCCGATCTTAGGACAAACTAGTTTTTCCTGGGCGAAACTAGTTCTATCTAGATTCGGTACCTCCGTCTAACGCGAAATCAAGTTGGACGCAAAAATATTGTGGACTACGTACCTGGAGTTGGACTGATTAGGGTTATTGTTTTTTTTTAAGTGCGGCCGAAGGCCGCTTACGCGGAGGTGTTTGGCCGAGCTTCTCCTCCGATTTATGGCGTGCGCTTTGATGTTGTTACACAAGGGGGAGGAACCCTAACTTTCACGCCGACTCCGAACGGCGCACAGTGGTCAGGAGATTCCTGGTTTTACGCGAAAAAGGCATATTTGAAAAGTGGGATAAATTAACCGGAATAAAGCCATTCTTATTCAGAAGAGTCCAACGAACTCAAAACTGATTAGTATTTTGAATAATCCCGAATTCGATCGTGGCACATTCTAATAGTTATTTAAAGAAAGGCCGCGCATACTGGCGCCAAAAAAAGACCAACTTTGGCAGTTGTTTCAAATAACATAAAATGTGTTAAAAGATTATGAATTAAAGTAATTTATAGTATATAGTATGTTCAGCACCATACAATTTAAAAGATGTATCTTAAAACACCTGAAGACAATTTAAAAAAAAAATAAATAGTGGATCCAATGTGGCGTCCACGAATTTAAAAATTGCTGAATTTTCATGAAATTTGGCATTTAGATGTTCTTAAGTTCCCTCATTAAAAATTTCAAAATAGGTTTTGAAAACTCCAAATGAATAACTTTATTTAAAAATTTTGGAAATTACGAATTTCGTATAAGGTGAAACAATCTAAAAAAAAAAACTAGGGGATCTAGGTCAAACTGTATGGGTTCAACAGATAGAAGACGGCCCCAACTATCCTCCATTTATAAATATAATTACTGTTGTTATTTCAAATGAAAAAGTTTGAATGTGATATAGAATTCGAGATCAGTGAGCCTTAAAGGTGGCAGGTAATAAGATCCACGGAAATAAGGTCAATTGACTTTATTTCGCACCTTTTTAAAAGCGAAATAAAATCCATTGACATTATTGCTCTTTCAAACATTAAATTTGCTACGTAAATTCATAGTCGATTTTACAGCTTTCAACTATCAAAGTTTTAATTTGACATCAAATTCGTAACTAACGGGCCTAAAAACCTAAGCAAAGGTGTTTTCAAAAAGATTTTCTTATTTTTTAGAGACAGCTGTCAACTGTATGTTTAATGCGAGTATTCATCACAAATACATGTTTTTCTTTGTTTCGTACCTAAATCTAAAAATATCTTCAACATTCAGCCAGCTTCACTTTTACACGTTTCGGCCGCCTCCTTGACTCACCCTTTTTTACTAGTCGATATCTGCACCTGAACGGGCACACGTGCAATTAGCGCGAACTCAAATGCAACCATAATTGCATTTTACACTTTTAAACTCATCGCATTGGCTTGCGATGATTAGTTTGTTTACTTCTAAAATTCCTCGAATTATTCCGATAATGTGCCATAAATAACATGGAATATTCAAAGTAATGGATGATAATTGCCGGCGCATGAGTTTTGTGTATTTGTTGAAAAGTTAATTTGTTTGTTTTTTTTTTGTGCAAGCATACAAAGAAACTTACATTCACTCACACTCACACACACTCACACTCACACATTGATGTCTCAATCAGATTTCTTTCTGTGCACTTGGGTGGGCCGCAAACTGCCAGCGACTACGCAACAACAACAACAACAACGAAAACATGGACGGCGCATTAAGTCTACGCTTTTTGAAGTAAATACATATGTATGTATGTATGTATGTATGTATGTATGTATGTAGATAAAATTAAAGCATTTATTGGGCGTCGTAAAGTTTGCAACGCAAAGTACGCAATTAGAATTCATGCTGGCCAATGCTGCAATTTTGTGCGCATCACGATCGCTAACAGATTTTACGATCTTGGCTAAATTGGAAGTTTTGTTATGGAACACAGAAACTTTATTATTTGCAAATAAAATCGCCAATTTGTAAGCTTCAGACAGACGTCAGATTTTAAATGTTAACGGGTTCCGTTGATCACTTTTAGTAGAGCGAATATGTGTACATATAACTACTTATGATGCGCTCCAGACCCATTGCCCTTAACAAGATAGTCCCGTAAAAGAGGCGGTTAGGTTGAAAGGATCATTGCCAGACCCGTAGCTGTTTTCTAAACAGTTCTTCAGACTGTGAAGCTCAGCGTGCTACCAAAGTGGACGGAGCTGCGGCGCAGCTTTTTGACGGCGATTATACTAAAATCACGAGGCACATCATAAATGAAACGCCAGATGGCGTGCGAGCTGCGGGATACCCCTCTGAACAAGTTATCAGGAAATCTTTCTTGCTGGCGAATCTGTCTTTCCAGCAATGAGGAAGGCAACGAAGCCCAGTACCTAAAATTCAAGGCTGCAACAGTGTGAAGAATAATTCTAATTAGTCTTATCTCGATCGGGATCATAGATCTCTTTTGGGCACAAGGAAACAATCTTATAGAAGGCAACTAAAGTGCAGATATTCAAGTTACGGATGGAGTTCATCTTGACAACACTCACAAATCGTTCGACCAGAAGCGTTTCAGCTATTGACGGCGCACTGCCAGCGCATGAGTTTCTTAGGGAGCAAAAAGTGTAGGGAGTCCGAGACGGCAGACGAAATACACATAATTGTGTGCGCTCGTAAGGCATCGGCTGCTTTATAAAGGACACAAACGACCCTATCTTTAGTAGTCTACCGACAGAGCACTTCTACTCGTAACACTTCTCGGAATGGGAAGAGGGCGCCAAGTTTTCGACGGAGTCCTTCTCTTTCTTTTTTTATGGGACAGCTTCTCAAGATTACTTTGCCTTACCACTTCATCAGCCATACAGTTTGTCGCAGTACTAATGGCCGCATGACAGCTCAGGCATCGCTAGACTAGCTTTGAGCGAATCATCAGAGCGTTGAGTGCCATTTACCTTTGATAATAAATTGATTCACAGGATACGCCCCACCGCGGAGTTATTCAAGCTAGGTAAGTGAGTTTGCAAAAAATATGTCTCTAGGTAGGGATCCCGCACCTGTAATAAAAAAAAAACCATAGGACTGTTCACAGACCAACGGAGTAATAACGGAGTGCCTCTAATCACCAGCAAATAATTACCACCGAACCCAGCCGTGTTTGAAGGAATCGAGTACCTACTTCTACACTTCTACGACATTTCAGTTGAACTTTAATGATCAAAACAAAATACGAGTATGTACTTGTATCCCTCGGTTCATTTCAATTTTCGTTTGTTCCCTGTTTTTATGCGCAGTTTAAATGACACCGTCTGCATCCCCCCGACCACCGAGCACATTTGCAATTGCTTCTGCCACGAACATTGCCAATGTCGACGACCTCATAGCGGCAGCGATGGCGGCTGGTTTTCAAACCAATGTCGCTTGTCTCACCCGTCCTGCCTGCCTACCTGCTACCGCGTGCAATTTGCAAAATTCGAAACTCTGCAATGGCTTTGGCATTAAATTAATTTCAACCCTCTGTTGGTTTTTGGACTAATACGGCCTTTGTTAATGTTCTGCTGCTTGTGCTGTTTGATCGGGGATGGTTTGTTGCTGTTTTGCAATTTTTTGCACTGCTTTTGCGAATTCCCCTTTGTTCGTGTCTTCGGTTTTGTGCTGAAATAAAATCGAATGCATTATAAAATTAAATGCGAAACGAGCTCTACATACGTTGAGGGCAATGCAAAGCGAATGTTATTGGCTTTATATGAAGCGGTTTCCCGCCAAACGAAGGTAAAAAATTCACTTCACCGACTCGTCCACTCCACCGAGCCATCAGAGTCATCGAGCTTCCAGCCGCAGACAATAACGCTCGACAAGTCGTAGGTCGGTTACGCTGTACGCCGCTGTCGCTATATTCGCGTCGCAGTCGGCGTGTCTGCTGTTGTCGCCGTTTGTTTACCAACAAACCAACAGGCTGTTAGTAAGTGAGCATTAGATGGTTGGGAAAAAGGAGAAGTCAATTGTGCCGGTGACTCGCCGAAGGTGGTGGTGGGACAAATACAGCCGACGTGGTGCGGTGTGGTAAAAGGAAGCAGCAGAGTCCGCTGCTCCATCGCCCTGCTGCCTGCTGCCTGCTGCCGTCTGGCGTCTAAAGTTTCGCACAGGGTGTGGAGTGTCAAAATCGGTAATTCGAATGTGAACGCTCTGGTGTGAATGAACTTTTCCAAGGACAATGATCTACGATTGAGTGTTCTGAGTGCCATTGGCGTTCCTGCTGTCGGTATGACGACTGTTAACTGTTGGTGGTAATTGTCTGCTTGGACAGGCGGACGAACAGCGAGCAGAATGTGCCTTTGCCATTTGCGATATTTCGAGGGTAGACTCTAGTCGCTTTGGTTTGGCGTGCCTGCCGTGCCGACTTCTTTATTCACTTTTATGTATTTTCCATTTTATTGCAATGGTACGGTTGGGCGCAACATCAACAGCAACAACAACGTCGGCAACAGAAGCGACAACAGCAGCACCGGCAGCGGTAATAAGTCGAGTCATCAACGCCAGCTGAATTGCCATTGCCATCGTCGTCATAATCTACCACATCATTGCATGTTTAATGCTTCGCCGCCCCGCTCAGGCAGCAGACAACCGGCACAGCAGCAGACAACAAAAAGCACCAGCTTGCAACCAGACAAAAGGGGCAACCAAGACAGCCAGCCAGCTATATACATAGCGAGCAACAAACAATGGGAATGCAGATGCAAAAATCCTAAAATTAAATCTAAAACCAAAATAAATCGTAAAATTTTTAGCCTGATGTGTGACTCGTGGTCCAGTGGCTCAAATCGAACAGAGGTGAAGAAGGAAGCATTTAAAGCCGCTTTGTTTACACTCGTTCTCTGCCATCGGAGCGCGAATCCATGTGTGCCCGCATGTGTGACTACAACAAACAGTCGCGCACCAAGTATCTAATTCCCACATGAATCGGTTGAAGTGGCTTGGTGGCTTGGTGTGAACGTCTGCCCCTTCTAATGATGGCCAATGAACTTTGTTAGCGCCATAAGTCGTTTCGGTTGCGCATAAATCGTGTGGGAAAGATTTCAAGAGTTGAGTATGCCTTCGATAAAGCAACAACAAAACGTCGCTTTGATGCATTTTGTGTCGAACTGTACAGTCGACGAAGAGGTGAAAGATTGGATAAGATCTAAAAAGTTTTCAGCTTACCAATTTAATCTTTGTTGTTGTAAGTCAGGAAAATATTAAAAAGTTCCAAAGTTCCACTTATGCTTTCACAGCCAAGGCGGTGAAAAAACGCGACTGCAAAAATATATCTTTGGAGGACCAGTGCAATAGCAACTTGCGCGATGATGGCGATGGTAAGAACCTTCCTTGCAAAGTTCTTCAGCTTCAAAAGATCGTCAGTTCCTTTCCTTTTTAACCTAAGTCGCAATGGAGGTGAGACATCACATGCATACGACTTGTTTCAAGGCCCCGTTTATGGCTTTGGTAGACTCACCAACTTTGTTATTATTTTTCACTGAAAGTCTTTTTTACGTGGCGAAACCGAAACCCAGCGCACAACCCATTGCTGGGAGTCATCGTGTTTTGTTGAATTCGACCAAAATCACTTAGACGGTTACAGCGGCAAATGAGGAGAAGAAGGTTCACCAACTTTCCTTTAATACATTATAATTCGGTGGTTGTAGTCTGACCATCTTATCAGCAATCGTTCCCTTCAATATTTCCATGTCCACGAACGCAGCACACAGGGACGTTCACTTATTCCAGGGTTACTGGTACACCCATACGGTGCTCGACTTCGCTACTTTGGAATTCTGCGCCTTCAATGTGGACTGTATTTCAATGAAAAAAGTTTTCCTATAGATTCGCACTCCGGCAAAGATTTTTACCTGAAATACCAGGAAAACAATATGACTGCCTGATTAGAGACGAACGCCGACCCCTTATTCAATCTTCGACGCATCGATGTTTGCTCTTTGGTTGGTAGTAGCGTCGACAGTGCTTAGCGCTAGATCCAATTAGAGTTTCGGCGCCATTTTTATACGATTTCTGTTGAAGACTTTGTTTTGATACCAGCTGTTATTCTTTAAACCATTTTAACTTTGGTGACTTCGGTTAGGTTTTGCATTCTGCAGAGTCCAAGTGTCCGATACCTAATATGCGCCAGGGCTGGACTTACAAACAGAAAGTGAAAGCTCGTTTTCCATGTTGTCCGCAAGATTGCAGCAGCGTATCCTACGCGGGAGATCCATTTTAGCCGCATTCTTTCACAATAGCCATTGGCCTTTGGTGGACCTAATTTAAAGAAAAGGCGGCCGCTGTGCTGTAGTGGTTAGCAGTGCGCGATACCATTTCGCAGGGCCTGGATTCAAGCTCGGTTCAACGCAACATCTAAAACGAAACAGTTTTTTTTTCCAATAGCGGTCGCCCCTCGGCAGGCAATGGCAGACCGCTGAGTGTATGGTATTTAATACTGAAAGTAAGACATTTCTTTAAAAAAACCTTCCATTAATCTTTCTACAAACAAAATAAATAAATATGTAAATGTTTACCTAGTGCCACAGTTAGAAATAATTCACAAAATTTCCACCTTCTAAATCATCTGCCGAATAAGAATTTTTCGATGCGTCTAATTGTTTTATTTTATTTGTGCGTTCCCACGTAATGCGCCAGACTCCCCAGACCGAACTTTGATGAAAGTCATGGAATACAAATGAACTTACAAAGAAACAGCCAGACCAAATGAAAATCGGATGAGCAGGTGAAGAAACTACGACCAACAAACGCAAAAAAACGCAGCTTGACATTCAACTCAATTTTACCGGGAGAATTCTAAATGTATGCACATACATACATACATACGCATATTCAGGGAGCTGCTTTCCCTTTCGGCCTATCTAGGCTTCTTTGCACTTCTTTCCTTTTTGTGTATTCTCCTCTTCGCTCGACATCCCTGGTGCCCAGTGTTGCCAGGTCACTGAAGTGCGAAATCGTCAGTTTGGTTCTCGTAAATCGTCATTTGCATATAAAAATCGTCAACATATAAAGAGTTAAAATAAACAGAACCAAAAAGTTCTTTTGGTTTTTTCTGATTTATATACGTGAAAAATAAAAAGTTAAACGTTTTTACGAATTTTTAAAAAATTCACATTATTTTTAACAAAACTATTTTTAATTGCAATAAATCGCATTTTCTCCTTTTTCCTTTTTTTTTGGATCATTAATGCCCGTCTGCACCAATCAATTTGAAATTTATCAGCCTGTTAAAATTTAAAATGACACAATTTTGTTCGGAAAATTAAGCATTTTAAATTTTAACAGTCTGATAAATTTAAAATTGATTAGTGAAACTTTAGATAAGTTCTATAAATTTTGTTTTTGTGGCAAAGTTTTTCTCTAGTACATATTATGTTTTACGGCATTCTAGAAATATCAAAAGAATTTGTTTAAATATTTTTATTGCTTGGAAAAGAACTTTGCCGTAGGTGTAAATTTTCTTGAAGGACTAAATATACGAGCATTTTTTTCTTGAGATCTTCGGAGTGATTTGAGACATTTTTATAGAAGAAGATTTCTTTTTCATTTCTTGAGTGGATTTTATATGAATTTTTCGATTTTCTTGAGAACTTTATACTAAGCCTTTAATCAGTTACAATTTTTAATGCTACATTTCATTTTTGAAACTTTTAAGTATATCGGTATTTGGATAAAACTCAAAACAAGAACAACCATTTCTTTTAATAAGTCCCGTGTAAACCAAAGTCCCTCAAGACTTGAGTTTTTTTGCAAAGCAGCATCTTCTACCTCGACAGCTGAGGTGAAGAGAACATCAGATATTTGCAAACTGATGCCACTACATTAAAAGCTGTTCATACTTACAAGTTTCGCTAATTAACTTATTCATAATTTCCTCCGCTCAATAAAATATGTATCAGTACACAACGCAAAAACTACGAATTTTTTCCCAAAAAACTCCACACAAATAGTGATGACACAAAGTAGAACACTACTTGTCGACAACTATTGTTAGTGCTGCCACATGATATAATTTGGATACGGCAAAAAAATCGTCAAATCGTCATGTCCGTAAAAAATCTTCAAAATGGCGACCAAATCGTCAACCTGGCAACACTGCTGGTGCCCCTAATTTGCGGCTGTATTGTTTGTATCCTTCGGAGCATATTCTGATGCGACTGCCTGTTTGATAACAGCAATCGTCGGTACATACATAATTGCCGTCGCGCCGTTCTCGATTTTTTATTTTTGCTAAGACTGGGATTTTCTCTAATATAATAATGCAGAGATTTAACCGCAGACGCAATTGAAATGGCTGGCGTAGTGTTGAGGGAAAATTTCCGAAAAAATCACAAACATTTATTGACTGACACACAGACGTACAGGCAGATGGTAGCACCGTGTGTGTATTTGTGCTTGACTTGAAGTTTTGGCGCGCCTGGAAAGTGGGTTTAAGTGAAATGCCGACGAAATTCGTAACAGACAGCATGGAGACGGCGCAAAAAAAAAAACAAAATGGGAGTCATTAGAATGCGCGGGAGTCTGGCGTACGTGCCACACCGTGCGTATCCTGTAAGAAAATTTTAAAATTTTTTTTTGCAGAAAATAGTCAAACAGTTCACATAAGTTGATTGTAGAGAAAAATTCCCCTGTATAGAGTATCTACTAAAAATGAGATTCAAACTGCAAATGAGGTTTAACCCTCCTTGGCTGAATCTACTTCGAACTACTACTAATAACTCTAATGAAAAGAGTTTCGTACTGCTCTACCCGCTTCGACATGGTACTCCAGGGCACTAATGAGCGCCCAAGTGTCCGAGAAAATTGCGACCCTGACGGAGGCTCACATTCTACAGCGATAGGAAATACCTCTGCTTAGAAAACTTAGGCTCATGTGAAAATATCGGTTCCGACGCCGAGTTACGTTTTTGAGCCAACG